AAGCATTCTGGGAGCTGGGGGAGACGCCAGCATTTCCTCCTTGGCACCTGCAGTGGGCTGGGGTCTGCTCTCAACCTCACTCGAGCAGGCGCTGCCCTCCCAGAGGCCGTTAGTCCTAGTCACGTGATAACTCCCAAAGAGGAGGTATTTACAAAGTATTTATGTTGTATAAGGTATTATAGTAATCTAGAGATGATTTAAAGTATACGGAAGGATGTGCATAAGTTATATGCAAATACTATGCCATATTATATCAGGAACTTGAGCATCTGTGAATTTTGGTGTCTCCTGGGTCCTGGAACCAATATCCTGAAGTTACTAAGGGATGACTGTATTCAATTTCTTCTTTGGTTATTGGTTTATTCTCTAATATATTTTTGTTGTTTTGTCTTTTTGTTTTTGCCTCTTCAAGTCAACGTTGGAAACTTAGTTGGTCTAGACTACCCATTAGCTCAAAGCTACCAGGAAGCAGACTACCACTGCAATCTAAGCAATCGATTTTTTTTCCCCATCAGATTGGCAAAAATTAAGATAAGCATCTATTGATGTTGAAGCTGTAGGGAGTTTTCCTGAGCATATTAATTATGACAGCCCTTTTTGCTAGGCACCTAGATGATTCATCAAAATGAAATAAAATACCCACGCACTTGAAGAAGTTATCTGGTTTATTATCTGGGTGCTGGTTATGTGAGGTCTACAGTTGATGAAAACTTATTAACCTTTATATTTCTAATAGGTACAATTTTCTGCATGTGTAGTATGTTTCAATAGTTTTTAAACTGTCTTTTGCCACAGTCCGCAGCTGTGTATAATGCTATTCTCTTAACAGTGGAAACCATGGCAATGACTTGAATCTCCCTGGCTCCCGGGATCCTACCCGCTTAAGTTAATGAAAATAAAAGTAAATGAAATAACTTCCACTGTCTTTCGTAACGCCTTAATTCGGTCCTCAGTTAAACTGACGGTTGGCGCTGGTTTTTTCCAGGGAAGGATTCTGGGAGACGGAGGAGGAGACTCCAGCACTTCCTCCTTGGCACCAGCAGTGGAACGCAGGACAGCTCCCAGCCTCCCTTGAGCAGCCCCCGCCCTCCCAGAGACCTCAGTCCCAGTCACGTGATGGTCGACTCAGCTGACCCGGCCCAACCAGAAAAAGAAATTCCTGGGCCCTGGCTTCCTGGTGCGATAATGAGGCACCGGGGTGAAGTGAGGCATGGGCTGCTGGAGCGGGAATGAGGGGGCGCCAGTGGCTCCGGAAACGGTGGGGGAGGTTGTATGCACTGGCCTCTCCGCAAACAGTGTGCGCGGGCGTGAGGGCTGCCTGTCTGGCAGAGAAAAGCCCACCGCTATCCTGCTCCCGAGTGTGGCGGTTAGACAGAGCAGGCAGGCCTGACTTAGAGTCCCCGTGCTTCCCTGGTGGAAGGAAGGGCTCCTGCCTCCCCGGGCAGGAAATGCGGCTTGTCTGGAGCTGAGAGACCTTTCAGGTCCTCCCCAGCCCCAAGAGGACCCCCCAAGGACACCCCGTTCCCCAGCCCTCCTGTGGGACTTGTACAACAACGTGCTTAGCCTCAGGCTCACTCTTCCACACTGTTAGGAAGCCCCTCCGCTCCTTCCAGACCCAGAAAGTAGTAGTTTTGGGGCTGAGCCTTATCCATCCATCCTTACGTTTTAAGTGCCTAGTCTATACCATAAAGTGTGCTCGGCACTGGGAGGACTTGAGTTGCCCCGGGAAGGGGAAATCGGAGGCTTGAATTGGCAGTCATCGTTAAGGCTCCGGGGCAGAGACCTAACTGCGCCTTGTGTGTAGTGCTAAGGGGGTTTCCTGAGGATGCCATCAACCTTAAAGGCGGATGGCAGGAGCTGACTGGCTGAAGTACAGTTTGTGTACCAGGGGTTGGGAGGCAAGGGTGGGAGGCGTGCGTCTTCAGACAGGAAACAGCATGTGTAGAAACTTCAGGTGAGAGAGAGCATGGCTCCCCAGGAATGAATGCATTTTCCATAGCTGGGAGAGTATCATCTGGAGGTTAGAGAAAGATGAGGCTGGACAAGTAAAGACCAAATCTTCCTGGCTCTTGGATCACCACAATCAAGATAATGAACACATCCACCGGCCCCCAAAATTTCCTTATGTGAGGGGCTATCTTAGGAAGTATGATCAAGAAGGGCCGGCCTGCCAGGGTGTAGTGACTCACGCCTGTAATCCCAGCACTTTGAGAGTGTGCAGATGACCTGAGGTCAGGAGTTTGAGATCAGCATGGCCAACGTGGTGAAACCCTGTCTTTACTAAAAATACAACAAAGCTGGGTGTGGTGATGTATGTCTGTAGTCCCAGCTACTTGGGAGACTGAGGCAGGAGAACTGCTTGGACTTGGGAGGTGGAGGTTTCAGTGAGCCAAGATTGCGCCATTGCACTCCAGCCTGGGCAGCAGAGGGAGACTCCGTCTTTAAAAAAAAAAAAAAAAGAAAAAAAAGAAGAAGTGCTAGTCTGATGAGGTGTCACTTTAGCAGAGAGTGGAATGAAATAAAGGATGGCAAGCCACACAGAGAGTGCAGCAGGCATGGCGGCGGGAGCAAGGCTGGTGTGCCTGAGCAGCAGCAGGGAAGCTGGAGTGGCTGGACTTGTGTGGGTATGGGGAAAAGGGGAGAGAGGTCACTCGTCTCTGTGAAGCCCAGGACTTTGTTTTATCCCCTGCTGTACCCCCAGCACGTAGAGTGGGAACTAGCACAGAGAAGGCACTCAATTGATGTTTGCTGAGCAGACGAATGCCTGGAGTAGACCTCAGAGCAGGGTTTGGTGGCAGGGTGGGTCAGGAGAGAGTTCACTCAACAGCCTGGTGATAGGGGAGAACAAGAGGCTAGAGGGTATCCATCTATGATGGGGACCAGGGTCCCTGCTGGGCAGCAGTGTGGGAGACACATGGATCCTTGCCACACCTCAGCCTTCCCTCCAGCCTGATTATCTGCCTCTCTCCCTTGCAGAGGTTCCTGTTCTGTGGTGATCTGGACTGTCCCGACTGGGTCCTGGCGGAGATCAGCAGCTGGCTAAGATGGTTGAGTGCACAGGGTCTGCTCTGGTGAAGGAGGGGCGTTGGGTCTGGGGATTGTGGGTATAGATGATGGTGAGGTTTCTCTGGGGTTAGGGCCTCAGTGCTCTCAGCCTGTGCTACCATGCTTTGTGACCTTAATCGGTGGCTGGCCTGCTCTGAGCCAGTCCCCAGGAAGGAGGGGTGAGGTTTGCCAGCCTGGCTGATGTAAGGACTTCCCTTCCAGTCCTCTGTGAAGTTGCAGCTGCTCTGCAGCCAGGTACTGAGGAGCTGCTGGGATGGGGGATTGATGTGAGTACAAGACCCAGCACCCCATTGTTCCATGACCTTATGACTCCCAGTGCCCTGAAACTCTGCACTAGGGCCAGGGAGATGAGTGAATCAGCCTCTCAACCTCTCTGGGTACCTCCCTTCCTTCTTTTCAGCCTGTCTGTTCCTTATTGCAGGATCCAGGCTAGAGTTGAGGGGTTGGTGAGCAGGGGTCTGGCACCCCTTGAAGGTCTCCTTTCCCCATAGAGTGAGAAGATCCTGAAGCTGACGGCTAATGCCAAGTTTGGTGAGTACCCCGCTGAGTCCACAGGCCCCAGGCAACCCTGCGACCTCGACCTGGTGCCTGGTACAGAGGCCCCCCCATCCCCCATCCCAGCAGCATCCTTAACCTACCTTCCCTAGTGGAGGAACATGAGGGAAAGAAAGACATTGACAGTCCCATCTTCCTGTTCTCTGCCAGCTCCTGGTGGAGCAGTAGCAGTGCCTGTGGCTCCAGGAGGCCTGAGGGCTTTGAGCTGAAGTTAAGAGGGCAACAGGGAGGTGACTGGGCCCACAGTGACACCCCCTGTCCCACTCACAGGTCCCTCAGAGTCAGGCGATGTGAAGGCCACAGTGGCAGTGCTGAATTCCATCCTCTGCAGTGCGGCCAAGCACAGTGTCGATGGCGGATGCTTGTCCAGTGAACTGCAGCAGCTGGGGCTGCCCAAAGGTACGGGTTGTGGGTGGGCAGCTGGGCAGCCTGTGGGCCAAGGGCTGCTAGAGAGGGGGCCAGGCCCTGTGACCCTATGGTGTGCCCTGCCCTGTCTGGGCCAGGAACCCAAGCCCAGCTCCCACCTGCTACCTCCAGAGCTACTCCATTCTACCCCCAGAGCACGTGGCCAGCCTGTGTCACTCTTATGAGGAGAAGCAAAGCCTCTTGCAGAAGCACTCGGGGTCTGCAACCTATGCAGTAAGTATGAGCCCAGCCAGTGTCCGCGCTCATTCTAGAAGGTGCACACAACATGCAAAGTGCATGGAGAGTCCAGGGAGATGACTTAACCACGGTCACAAGCCGAGCAGCCGCAGAGCTGGGACCTGGCTCTGGGTCTCCTGACTCCATGGGCTGTGCGATGTGTACATACAGGATCAGACCTCACCGTTTTCTCCTAGCTGACCCTTTCCTAGTCCCCCATGCCCCATGTGTGAGCACCCAGCTCACTCTCTTTCCTCCCTCTCCAAAGTGTGGTCTCTTGCAGCACGAGTGGCAGAAGGGGCAGCAGAGACTGTGGACCCCTCAGCTGCATCTAAGACCTCTGTGTGGTCTAGCTGTGTGTGCTGGGGGAGGCTCTTGGCCACCATTTTCCCCTCTGTAAATGAGACCGATACCTGTGGCATGGAGGGCGGGAGGCTGGTGTGAGTGCCAAGCACTTGGAGCAGGTCCCTGAGTGAGCATGGACGTGGGAGCAGGGGTGTTCCTCGACCTTATGTACCTTAGGGATGGGAGTGGGGCTACCTGTGTGGGTTGACAAGGCATTGCTTTCCCCCACCCCACCTCTGTCCCAGCCCTGCAAGTCCGGTCCTTGGGGGTCTAGGAGGGAAGAAGCCCCTGGCTGTGTGATCTCAGGCCGGTGCCTGGCCCTCTCTGGCTCTGAGTTCCTGGGAAAGTCAGCACCCAAGGAACGCCCTCCAGTTTAGCACCTTGACAAGAAGGGTGGGGACACTGGGTTCAGGCCGACCCCTCTGGTCCAAACCCCTCGGCCCCAGCTGGAAGATGAGGAGATGCTGGGCTTGGGTGGGGGAATCTCCTCAGCTTGGCTAAAAGGCTCAAGGTGTCAAAGGCTCAGCCTGCCCCCCAGGAAGGAGCCTGGGCCCAGCCAGACAGTCACCAGGACAAGGGCAACTATGGCGAGCAGGAGGCCCAGGATGAGGAGAACCGCGGCATAGCTGGAGATGAAGGTGTCCAGCGGGCTGGAGGCTTTGGGGCCAGGAGTGCTTAGAGCAGAACAAGAAGGCTATGACCAGGCGGGGCCCCACCTCCCAGACTTCTGAGAAGGCAGAATCTGCACTCAGAAGGTGCTGCGGGACCAGAGAGTGGGGCTAGGAGCATCTTGGAGGGCTCCATGAGCAGGGGAGGCAGGCTTCAGATCAGGGCACGTGGAGGAGGCAGATGGACAGAGGGAGGAGGCCTGCAGAGGGAAGGAGGTACTGACCGAGGTCTGGGATGGCCGTGTCTACCAAGAGGCCCTCTGCCTCCCCCAGGTTGTGCAGACACTGGCGCGCACAGTCCCACCTGAGGGCCCGGGCTGGTGCCAGCCTGAAGGTGGCACCCATTCTAGCGATCAGTGGATCTGGACTGGTGGCAGAATCATCACAGACTTCAGGGGCCTGTGCAACCTTGCAGGACTAGGGGAGGTCATCTCTTCCAGCCTCCTGCCCTCAACCCCAGAACCCTGGTCTGAGCCCTGGGTCACCCAGGGCCACCCCGGAGCCCCTAGAATTCCTCTACCACCACTTGGTCAAAGTTCTGCAGAGGTCTGAGGAGGAGGGTCAGCTGGGGGGTCAGGAGAGGATGAAGAGGGTCACAGCTCTACCAAATGAAGCCTTATTTCTTGTGGCCCCTGGCCTACTCCTCTGATGCCAACCTCCGGCTGGCCCAGCCCTGCAGAGTAGGTGCTCAAAGGCATCAGTAGCGGTTCGTCTCATGCTGGTCTCCCCCCAGGTCCCCCTCTGAAGCCCGGTACCACAGATCTCAGGGTGGGGGGTACAGCTCAGTCTCCTTTCCCCCTCATCCCCCTCACAGGGGCTTTGTCCACCAAGGCCCCTGACTGCTAGGGGACCCACACCCACGGCCTCCCTCTTTCTGACTGCTGGCCCTTCCACAGCCTGGATACTTGAGCCCTGGGCAGAGGGGTAACGATCCCAGGACTGTCTTCACA